GAAGAGGAGGGAGGGCTGTAGGATCCCTTCCCAGGACAGAGGTGCGGAGATAACTACTCCCAGTATATTAGACACAGCAGGGGAACAGGCTGCAGCCCAGCTCCCTGAAGGAGTTCATCCCAAGCGAACAAAACAGGCATTATGAAAGCAGCAGGGCTAGAGTAGGGACTCATCTTTCCTTTTCAAATACTGCTTCTCAAAGAAAGGACAATAGTGAGTTGATAAATGCAGCTAATTGTGAGACTTCAGGAAGCGTGTGAGTGAATCCCTATGACTGGAAGGGGAGGTGCTTAAGGGGCTTTGGCTGACCTCTGGGGTAACCACCTGGCTTGTTTGTCACCTAAGCAAACAGAATAATAAATTGCTTAGTTAGCCATCTAAGTGATGCCAGCTATTCACCCCTCCTAGTGCCTAACCACACATGAGGTGTTTAAGTTACTGTGACTAGATGCAGAAAAGGGGGACGTGCTTGAACTATAACAGAAAGCGTCAGAATCTTTTGGCTTCTTTCCAAATGTAAAGAAATTAAACCTGGCCCTGGCCGGTTTGGCTCAGCGGTTGGTGCGTTGGTCTGCAGTACAGAGAGACCCAGGTTCGGTTCCCACTAAGGGCACGTACCTCGGTTGCAGTTTGTCCCCCGCCCTGGTTGGTCGTGAGGGTGGCAGCCACTCGATGTGTCCCTTCGCATCGATGTTTCTCTCTCTCTCTCTTCCTCTCTCTCCCTCCCGCTCTATCTGAACAAAAAAATGGAAAAATGTCCTCGGGTGAGGATAAAAATAAAAAAAGAAAGAAAGAAATTAAACCTGTTATTCAGGGTCCACTGTCATCAAGAGGGACCCTTACTTGCCCAGGCTGGGACGTTGTACTGGCTGGGAAAGGTGATGGTGAGGAAGTGAGCAGGGGATGACGGGTGAGAGCAGAAGACCGTCGACGTCCGGACCGCCACACGCCCTCTCTCCTTGGAGTGCAGACCAGGCGGGGACCTGTACGTGAGCGAAGCCAGGGCTGGGTCTCTCCAGAGCTTCCTATGACAGCCAAAGCCATCTGCCGAAAAAGACGGAGTCTCTGGAATTGGTTTTCCACATTGTTTGGCACCATCTTGCGATCATTTCCTCCTTTGTTCATCAGTTGGGGCTGTTGCCAAGCGTAGTGAAGAAAGGAGGCTGAATACTCAGACTGATGGCTAATATTTATACTGGGGACGATTTTCACCTCTCATTTCCTCTAGGGATGTGTTCGACCCTTCCCACTGTCACTGAGCTGTGTGCTTCCCTTTCTTCTTTAACTTCTCAGTACAGGCCCCAGGCAGGTTACCGTACAGGGGAAGCCCAAACCCTTTGGGGGAGAGAAGGGATACCAAAGGAAAGTTATCGAGCTGTCCGGAGGCGCTGCTTCACTCTATCTGTAGCCTTCTCCGTTAGCTAATGGACACCCTTAGATTCCCACCCACAACTCAGTCTCTCTTCTTCCACTTCCAAGATGTGACCCATCAGGAGTGTTTACTCAGTTGCTCAGCTCCTTATTGACTCACCTGGCCTATGGAACCCTTCAAACCATTATATATTTTTAAATCCTCTCCTGAGGGTATGCTTTTGCATTTGAGAGAGAGAGAAGGGGAGCGAGGGGCATCAATCAGCTGCCTTCCATATATGCCCTGACTGTGGATTGAACCCGCAACCGAGGCATGTGCCATGACTGGGAATCGAGCCCGCAACCTTTCAGTATACGGGATGATGCTCCAACCAACTGAGCCACATTGGCCAGGGCCTTAAAAACATTCTTGATCAAATTTTTTTCCTAACAACTCCCATTCCAATCCAATAAAACTCTACCCAGAGAGTTGCACATCAGCCTTTCCTTCTTGTTTCTGATGCGCTTCAATTGCACATGCTGCCTGCAGGCACTAGGATCGAAGTCCAGCTGGAGTTCTAGAAGCCTTAGCAGTCAAGTGTATGAGTGGGCCATGCTCGTTATGTAGTGGAGAGAATTCCAAATTAGAAGATCAGTCACAGACGTTAGCTGGCTTGGCTCAAGCTCAGCTACTAAACACAATTGGGAAGAAGTACCACCAAAGAGATGAGTCAACTGTTGCTGTTCCAAATGGCCGGACCTGGTGCACCTGTGCTCTTGTGGCTGCTTTAGGAGCACATTGGAGCTGAATGTTGTATTTAGGGGAGAAACGCGGACCGTACTGTGAGCATTTGAGGACCACTTCACTCTGTATTTAAACTTATTTCAGTTAGTGCAATTGTTCTGGATTATTCTATCCCCACATCATCTGAGCTCATTCATGAGTACTCAACATGTACCCAGGGCATTTCTCACAAAAACTGAAGGCCATTCCTTTGCTCGCACCAGCTCATGTGACAAGAGCTACACCTGGAGTTTCCAGTCCCTACCATCCTTCCCTAAACTTGCTTGGCCTCACAAGGAAGTATGTCAGAGAAGGCCACTCAGTTGCTAGAAAATCTTCTTGCCTGGCTAATAGTGCATGTGTTCACATCAACATTTGAAGTTTAACTTTTTTCCTAAAGAAATAAAAGTCGACAGATCAGAACAAGGGTGACAAATCAACGAGAGTTTTTTAAGCAAGCTGTTAAATATTTTTTAAGTCAGAATATTGAAGTATAATTTAAGTTGTATGAGTTTTGCAATTTGTGGGGGTGTGTTTTAGTTTGTACATTTTTAAAAATTTTTAATTGTTGTAAAATACACATACAATGTATCATCTTAATCGTTTTAAATGTACAGTTCAGTGATATTAAGTACATTCACAGACTATCTCCAGAACTCCTTTTTGCAAAACTGAAACTCTGAACCCATTAAATAACTATTCCCTGTTCTCCCTGCCCCAGCCCCTGGCAACCACCATTCTACTTTCTGTGTTTATGAACTTGACCATACTAAGTGCCTCACATAAGTGGAATCGTACAGTATTTGTCTTGTTGTGACTGCCTTATTTCACTTAGCATAATGTCTTCAACATTCACTTATATATCAGAATTTTCTTCCTTTCTCGGGCTGAATAATATATATCATTTTTTTTCTTTCTTTTTTTATTCCTCACCCAAGGATATTTTTCTACTTATTATCAGATAGAGTGGGAGGGAGGGGGAGAGAGAGAGACAGAGAGAAACATCGATGTGATAGAGCCACACCAACTGGTTGCCTCCCACATGACCCCACCAGGGCCAGGGACAAACTCATTGGTCCACAGGCCGATGCTCTAACCACTGAGCCAAACCGGCCAGGGCCTCATTTTTTTTATCCATTCTCCAGCAATGGACTCTTGGGTTGTTTCCACCTTTTGGCTATTCTGAATAATGCTGCTATGAACATGGATGTACAAATATCTTTTCAAGACCCTGACTTCTATCACTTGTGTCCTTTAAAACCGAGAGAAAGAATGATCCTAAAAGAATTCCATATTCCATGGTTTTGCATTTTTTACCATTTGGAAAAAAATCAGGGATGCAGCACTAATTTCACCTGGTAATATCTTTTATAGCTTCTCAGTGTGCTGACTTTTCAAGGACTTCTTGTGCTGTGCTTCAGCAATATGTGAGTGCTTTGAGAATTGCCAGTAAATGGAAAGTAGCAGCAGTTCGGCTATATCTCAGTGATAGGGATGCTCTGATCAAGGGTGAATTTTCAATGACTTGGTGTATTGCTAAAAATCACTATTCTGCCATGGGATTTAAAGCCCCACATCACCCTTCCCCAGGCCAGGAAAGCATGTGGCCTTAGGATGAAGTTGGTGAAGCCCAGAGATAAGCTTCTCTACCACTGAGAAAGACCTATAAATAACCTCTGTGATCCTGTTTCAAAGTCGGAAAAGAGGCAAAGGCTGAAGGATTGCCAAATAATTTCATGAACAAATAGATCAAGGAAATGATCTGTGAATAAATCTTAGAGAAGGGAAAGCCAACCAGCCATGTGGACAAATAAGATTCCTCCCCTGCCAAAACAGCCTCTCCTTCATGCCCTACATTTTCTTCAGGCATGAATAAGCCATATTCTAGATCACTTGGCATTTAAATAGCTAAGTCGGCTCAGAGATGATTGGGGGGCTGAAATATTAGCATTCTGCCTCCCTGCAAGGAGGAAAGGAAGTCTAGTTCAGAAACCAAAGCAAAGCTTATTCATCTTATCTCATCTTTTAAAACCTGAGACAGAGTCCTTTGCAGCCCACCAGACATAGGGTCCTCCAAGCATTAAATGCACAGAAATCAAATGCATATCCATTACAGGAGAAATAGCTGGGAAGTGGGGCTGAGGTGACAGATTCTGAAGAACAAACATACACCTTTGTGCTCTGTCTTCTTAAAATTCATCCTCTCACCTGCCAGCCTTGCGAATTGCCTATTTACATAACTAGCTGCCTAAAATGGAATATTAGGTAATGTTACATGGTGGCTCACTCAATTTGAGCCCATCCCCAGGATAGGAGCGTGATCCGGAGCCCTGCGACAGCATGCAGCGTGGCACGCTGGCCTGCAGCCATGCCTCCGTTTGGTGTGAGCCTGTCAGCACTCCTGAGCCAAGCAGATGTCAGGCCCGGCCGCCAGGTGGGAGACCAGCAAAGCCACAGGGGGGAGGGGTGTGATTCAGCAAGTGGCACGATGTGGCACACTGTCTTCAGGAGACAAACAGCGTCTCTTTCTGAGCGTCACAGCAGGCACCTTGTTCTTCCCAAGGCGCTGTCTCAGAGACAGCCAGCGTGTAGGAAATGAGGGGGAGCTGCAGGATCTATGGGGACAAGGGGTATGAGAGGTAGTCAGTCAGCTCTGATGCCATCCCTGGCACCATGCCAGCCTCACACCCCCTGTTGGTCCTTTTAAAGTACGAATCTCCCTCCCATCAAAACTGGAATCATGCTGCTCACTTATAGGAGGAGTATAAATAAGTGATAAGGAAGTGTTTTGATCATGATAAGCGGATATATTGGACCAGATGTATCAAGGAAGGCAATTGTGTGTGTTTGTTCATTTCTTTTTCAGCGTTCCAGTTCCTGTAGTCAGTTTAGAGAAAATTCCTAACCTAGTGAAGGCAGATGGTGCCAATGTCAAAATGAATTCTACAACCACTGCTTCAGTCAATGCCTGCTCCACCTCATCCTCAGCTGTCTCCACCCCACCCTTAATTAAGCCGGTCTTGATGTCCAAGTCAGTGCCACCTTCCCCAGAGAAGATCTTAAATGGCAAAGGAATTTTGTCTGCCACAATAGACAAGAAACACCAAAATGGCACCAAAAATAACAACAAGCCTTACAGGAGACTTTCAGGTACGTGTCTGTGTCCTTCGCGTCTGGTTCATGATTAGACTGAAATTGAGTCACAGCCGTAACCAAGGAGTGATGTGTTCTTATAATTAATCAGGCCTGTTTCACTTTGGGGGGGGGGGGCATGAAGGTAACCTGCAAGCAGGACCCCCACCTAAAAATGCAAACAAAAGCTTGTTCTCTTATTACCAGATCAGGTGAGGCTGCCGCTCAGCTCACTGCTTAATGGGAGTTACCCTAGTGACCCAGGAGGCCAGATGCTCTGCACCAACCACAACAGTCTCTGGATTCTGAGGGTCTTATTATCATCTTGACAGGCTGAACTGCCCCTGGATTTTGTAGAGGCCTCACTACCATGAAGCCGGACAACCTCAGTGACATCTCACAGTAGCTCAGGGCAGGCTTGGCACAGTCCCATCAGTGACTGCCCCACAGAAAGATACAGCCTCGGCCCTTTGGCCTCATTGGTTTCCTGGTTTATTCTGGGGCTGCAACCGACTTTCTCAAGTAACCAGCTGGGATTTCTGTTCGGGAACACTTGTGTTAGCACAGCGGATGAGGTGTGGGGTGTCTCTTGGGTGTACTCCTTGGTTGTCTGGACAGGCACTTGGAGCACCTGGAAAGGTGCACGTGGCCAGTCTTTGGGGCAGTGGTTGTCCTTTAGGGGCCCCCATGTGGATGGTGTTTGCTTTGGGTTTGTTGTGAAACTAAATCTAGCAGTTCTGCTTTTTTCAAAAGACCAAAATAAGCTTCATAACTTATTCACACACTGTAGGAATTTATCTAATCTTGACTAGAAAAAAAATATTATGAAAGCCACACTGTGAGAAAGAAACTGTATCTTCAGGTATGAACATACTTCTTAAGTACCCCCAAAATTGTGGGTCATTTTTATTTTCTACTTTGTGTTTATCTGTATTTCAATTTTTCTATCTTACATCTATACCTTTTTAAAAAATGTATTCTTAAAAGTACTTTAACCCAAAGCATTCAAACGACAAAAGTATTATACTCTGCAATCTCCTCATGTACTGTTCACCCACTGTCAAGAAAGAAAGGTAGAGCCTGGTGTCCTCTGCGCCGTTGTGAGGACTCTATGTGGACGGGAGCCCCCAACTCCTGGCTCTCCTCCTGACTGGGCAGTTCAGTTTTATTCTGCAGACGTGGATGGCAGCATCCCTGGATAGGCCTGCCTGGCTGGGTACAGTGTCCAGAGGCTGTGGTTCTTTGTTGTGGCAGATGCATGACCATGGCTTCCAGCCTGCACCCCAATCTGAAGTTGTTTGTGAATTCTTTGTTGTTGGTTGGTTTTGCATTTTGTTGGTTGTTTTGTCTCATTGGGTCTTTTGCTTCTATCTCGCTTTCACATTTGGCTGCCAACTCCTACCCCCAGTCAAACAACCTGTTCAGTTCCAGGCCCACGTGAGGGCTGGGTGGATCTGGGCACGGGTCTGACTCTGACAGGCCCAAGGAAAGAGGTCCATGCCAGGCAGCCTGGGGCCTGCCACCCAGGTACTCCTTGGTGGGCAGAGAGGGCTAATAGGAAGTGGGTATCTCTAGGTCTAGCCATTATCTGTTTCTAAAAGCTTTAAAAATTAAAAAAAGAAGACAAAAGAAAAAAAAGTGGGTGGGAGGCATTTTGATGGTCAACCAGGGAATCTGTTTTGTATATAAGAATGGTTTTGTTGAACACATTATTATTACCACCATCACAACCACCCCATGAGCCCCAAACCCTTTTTTTAAAGAATAGTTCATTGATTTTGAGAGAGAGAGGACGAGAAAGGGAGAGAGAGAGCCCTGGCCAGTTTGGCTCAGCGGTTAGAGCGTCAGCCTGCGGTCCGGAAAGACCCGGGTTCGGTTCCCGCTAGGGGCACGTACTTCGGTTGCAGTTTGTCCCCGGCCCTGGTTGGTCGTGCGGGTGGCAGCCACTCGATGTGTCCCTTCACATCGATGTTTCTCTCTCTCTCTCCCTTCCTCTCTCTCCCTCGCACTCTATCTGTACAAAAAATGGAAAAATATCCTCAGGTGAGGATTAAAAAAAAAAGAAAGGGAGAGAGAGAGAAACATCGGTGTGAGAACAGAACATCTATTGGTGGCCTTCTGCATGCCTTCTACTGGGGATGGAGCCCACAACCTGGGCATGTGCTCTTGACAGGGAATCAGAGTGGCAGCCTTTTGGTACATGGGATGACGCCCAACCAACTGAGCCACACAGGCCAGGGCACTCTCAAACCTTTTTGTAAAACTACAACATAGTCATTGATTATGCTCAGCGTTTACCAGTTTCAGACAGTGTTTCAGGCTAGGTAACCTCTTTTTAGTTTGCAGCTATTCAGGGCTCTTAAGGACACCACCAAATTTAAACACGCCCCTCTCCCACCCCAACATTCCTCCTGAACGCCCAGAAGAGCTGTATCATTCTTGCTCTGCGGGAGGCGGGTGTTTGCTGGTTGCCACCCAGAAACAGGAGGCCACCTGAGGGGTGGAACTTTAAAGCCTAAAGGGAGGGTCCTTAAGAGATTGCCCTCATGCCCCCTCATTTCCCTGGGGAGGAGAGCATTTTTGTAATCTAGAGGGGATGAAGGAACCAAAATGGGCCTAAAAAGAGAAAATTGCTTAGAAGTAAACTCAACATGACCTACCAACAGTAGTGGGAAGGCAGACAATGGGATCAGTCTGGCCTCCCTGCAGCCACCCTAAGGGCACGACTTGCCCTTCTCAATCCCCTTTGCAGCCACCGCCCGTGCTGGGAGCAAAGCAAGCTGACACTGTAAGACTAGCAGGCTCTGCCTTCTGTGCACCTTCATGTTTAGCTCTGCATAGGCACATACCCAGACTTTTCCCCTGCCCCTGCCTGTGACACTGTCAAAATGTTCCTGAATCAGGTAACCAGTTGTTCTGGTCAACAAAACAGTCTGTAAAGCCTTGTGCTGAGCACTCTGCAAAGCAGGAGAGAGGCAGGGTCGCACTGACATGTCTAGGAATAGTCTCCCACTTAAATGGCTAAAAGTGGCAGGAAGGCAGGTTGGGGTGGGGAGTTATGATGTACTCTTGAAACCACCCAGGAAAAAGTGGCCCTTCCTGTCAGTGCCCACCCCACCCTACCCCGTGCCTTGTGCTGCATTCTGCATCCCTACCGAAGCTGGACTTGGGAACTCTGGGTTCAGAGGAGTGCACCATTTCCCCCTGAGCGGTTCTTGAAGCATTTTAGCAGTCGGTAGGAAAAAAAAAAAAGATTGCCTGACAATGTCTCACTTGTTGGTGCAAATGTGCATTTTTTTAAATGTAGTCTTAATGCCAAGTCCTATTTAGTCTCCTTTTTTCTTATATTTTTTGTTTGTTTCTTAAACCAGAGAGAGAATTTGACCCAAATAAACACTGTGGAGTATTGGATCCCGAGACAAAGAAACCTTGCACAAGATCCCTCACCTGCAAGGTATTTCTCTTTCCATAAAAAATACTTCCTGCTCTCGCTGGGGCCTTTGTCGAAATGTTTGCATGCCACTCTCTGCACACGGCAGGGTGTGGAACCTAGACATGACCCCCAGCTGTTCTTTGTAAGGGAAATGCTTTCTTCTCTTCCATGGTAGCAGAGTGCCTGCCTCAAGCTGGCTGGCTTTTTAAGAAGGGAAAAAAAAAAAAAAGGCTTCCCCTGTTACTTGTGAGGCCAGACAGTAAATTGTATTTATAGGCACTCACAGGCGGTTCTAAACCCTGCTACATTTTAATGTATGCAGGAGCGGCGGCAGCGGCGGCGGCAGCGCCCTGAAAGACAGTCCTGCCGTGCTCCCGATCCCAATCCGGCCACACCAGGGTGGCCAGGGGGACAGCTGGCCCAAGGCGGCTGCTACTAGGTAGCCCCCAGCCGCATATTTCATACTGAACTGCTAGTGCTTCTTGGGATCGAGGCTGTGGCCCTCTCTGCTTGGTGGCTCTGTGTGTCTGGGCCAAAGCGAACCTCCACCTGCACTTGGATTAACTCTAGACTCTCTCACGGTGGTCTTCATCAGAGAGGTTTTCCTGGGTTCTGTACTGAAGCCTGTCATCTTGTGCCATTTTTTGGAGGAAGCTTTGGCTTCTTAATGCCAGGAGAGTAGGGCATGGTTGCATTTGTGTGGTCTCTGCCTCTTCCCAGCCACAGAACAGGAGCTGTTGCCTTGAAGTTGACTTTTCAAGCACCTCTAAATTCCCATGAATTGCTGTTTCTGAAATGAAGGGCCCGGGGAAGAAGGTTTATGTGCTGATCAAAGAGGCTGTGCTTTTCATCTCTCTTCTCCTTAGACACATTCACTAAGCCATCGGAGGGCAGTCCCGGGCCGGAAAAAGCAATTTGACCTCCTTCTGGCGGAACACAAAGCCAAGTCCCGGGAAAAAGAAGTTAAAGATAAAGAGCATCTTCTGACTTCAGCGAGGGAAGTACTTCCAAACCAAACCGGGCAGGCACAGGACCCTCTGCCAGGATCTTCAGGGAGCTCTGGGCCAGAACCTAAAGTCACATCTCCTGCAAAATCCAGGCCACCCAACTCTGTGCTGCCTAGGTAAGTCCCACCATGGCGATAGAGGCCCAGAGTTCTTGGTCAGGTGACTGCCGCGCTGGTTCTTCAGTCCGATCACGTGTTAAATGGAAGTCCTAATAGCCCTGCCTTGTAAGGTGGTTGTGCAGTTTAAATGAGGTAATGTGCATAAGGGCTCAGCCATAGTGTTCAGTGGATTTTATTGCTATCATCATCCTCACCCTACATAGCAGATCTCTATCAGAACAAGAGTAAGCTGAGAAGAAATGCCTGGATGACACACCAGCCACCGGGCAACTTCCTGGCTGCCTGGCTTTTTAGATTAGTTAAAGATTCCTGGAGCAGAGTGCAGAAAACTTGGGTGGGTGGGTAGTCAGCACATGTAGGAGCCCCTTTGACACAATATTTTGTGAATTTTTCCCACAATCCTCTGATGACCCAGGTAAAGGGAAAAGGAACATAACAGAGGCTTTCTGTTCTTATATTTCCCTGCACACCCAGAAAGCTGAGACACCTGTCTGTGGTTTTATTTGGTTGTCCTGGACAGAAAGGAAAGAACAGAAAAGAGAATTAAAATCCATTTGGATTAAGAGTGATTTAAAATCCATACGTGTTCTGATGGGCAGTGGAATGCCACATTGAGCAGCAGACCAACCTCCAGGTAACAGGACAGGAAACTCTTCATTCAAAAGTATTTAAGCCCTGGCTGGTTTGGCTCAGCCTTTAGAGCACTGGCCCGTGGACCAATGACTCTTGGTTTTGGTTCCCACTAAGGGCACGTACCTCGGTTGTGATTTGTCCCCGGCCGTGATTGTGGTTGTGCAGGAGGCAACCACTCAATGTGTCCCTCTCACATCAATGTTTCTCTCTCTTTCTCTTCCTCTCCCTCCCTCCCACTCTATCTGAACAAAAATGGAAAAATATCCTAGAGTGAGGATTAAAAAAAAGACTTTCTTTTTTAAATATTTAAGTGTTTGCTCTGTAAGCAAGGTAGTGTGTTAGGTGCCCTCTGGCAGGGTACAGAGATGAATGAAACTAGGTTCTGTTTTTCAAGAATTTCGTTTAGAAGATGAGATAAGACTCATATTCATAACATCATTAAAAGGAAACATTTATTACAATGTGAGAAGTACAGGTCCTGGCATTACCTGATAAATTTTAGTGTACATTGTGTGCATCTCACAGGTCCAGTCATCAGGGCTTTAAGAGAACGTAGTTATAAAAGAAGGGAACGAATTGGTTTTTAAAGCAACTGCAGCTATTTGGTGGCCGTTGTTCCTGATCTACCTAAGGTTCTCGCCCTCATGCCTTCCACTTTGGGACAAGCTGGCCCAGTTTGACAGAGTCCCTCTGTAGGAGTGGCCGACCTCTGCTTCAGGAGGAGGAGTCGGGTGGAATCCCAGCCCACACATATTTCCATCATCACAACCATTGTTGTGTTGTTGTCATCTGTTTACATACCACTTTCCTTGCCTCCTGCATTTTGCAAGATTATTTTGTAATTACTTCCTACTGTAATGACAGATGTTGGTAAGGATGTTACCCTTGCTTTAGAGTTGAAGAGACAGTTCTGTTCCAAACGTTTGTGAAGGGCTTTAATTCCGTAAACAGTGACTTTCAAACTTCTCTGGGGCTGTAGAACTTTTTTATTCTACAAAACCTTACCTAGTACCCAAAAGAAACGCAGACCCGCCTCCACCTGAAGCCAGGACAGTGCTGCTCTCATCCACAAATACCCAGAGCCTGCTGTCTCCCTACCTTCCGAGCAATCACCTCGTACTCTAAAGGGACTCCAGGGAACCCAGTTTGAAAACCCTTATTATTATAAGATTTTGACTGATGGAGGCACTTCTCACCCAAGCAGGTGGTACCTGATTAACAGAGAAGACAGGGGACAGCCATTAAAAAATAAAACAGGCACCCTGGCCAGTTTGGCTCAGCAGTTAGAGCATCGAGCCGTGGACCAAGGAGCCTCGAGTTCAGTTCCGGTCAAGGGCATGTACCTCGGTTGTGGTTCAGTTGGGGTAGTGAGAGAGGCAGTCAGTAGATGTGTCTCTCACATCGCTGCGTCTCTCCCCCTTCCTCCCTCCCGCCCTCCCGCTCTATCTGAAGATAAATGCAAAAATGTCCTCGGGTGAGGATTTAAAAATAAATAAAAAAAACAGGCATTGGAACCTTGATAGCTTCTCCCTGTTCCTTTTGGGTTAATGTTCAGAGAAATGTTTGTTGATAGAGAAATGCCAGGTGTACGTGTTCTTTTACAGAGCAGAAAAAAGAGAGTGAGGTTAATCAGCAAGCGGGTTGTCTCTGAAAGGAAGGGGAAGGCATCACAAATGTTGCTCACAATAATTTTTTTTTTTTTTTTTTTTTTTGTTTTTTTTTTTTATCCTCACCTGAGGACACTTTTTCATTCTTTGTTCAGATAGAGCAGGAGGGAGAGAGAGAGAGAAACATCGATGCGAAAGGGACACATCGAGTGGCTGCCACCCGCACGACCAACCAGGGCCGGGGACAAACTGCAACCGAGGTACATGCCCTTAGCGGGAACCGAACCCGGGTCTCTCCGGACCGCAGGCCAACGCTCTAACCGCTGAGCCAAACCGGCCAGGGCGCTCACAATAATTTTTGAAGACACTTTTTGAAGTTGATATAGGCACCAAAAATTCAGGGGTATACTCTGGTCCAATGTGAGTGGGGAATAACATCCTCTTTCACTTGTTTTAGATTAAGATGAGACCCCCACAACGCAATCAGAGATTTAAAAAGCATCATCAGCCCTGGCCGGTTTGGCTCAGCGGTTAGAGCGTCGGCCTGCGGTCCTGAGAGACCCGGGTTCGGTTCCCGCTAAGGGCACGTATCTCGGTTGCAGTTTGTCCCCAGCCCTGGTCGGTTGTGTGGGTGGCAGCCACTCGATGTGTTCCTTTCACATTGATGTTTCTCTCTCTCTCTCTGTTCCTCTCTCTCCCTCCCACTCTACCTGAACAAAAAATGGAAAAATATCCTCGGGTGAGGATAAAAAAAAAAAAAGCATCATCAGAATTCAATTTTATAATCAAATAAAACTTAAAATTTATTTTACTCCTATTAATGACATATATAATAGCTATTTCAATAATACTAATTATGTATAATTAGCAAAAAAATATTATCACACATAAATGGAATTAACGTAATCCCTTCCCAATCATAAATTCCTTTTGTTGGAAATATTAACATGTGTGAATTTATTTCTTACATTTTATTTTGATAACCTTGAAAATATTTCAACTTTTGTATTCTTGAATTGCCAGGGGTTTCTACAAAGGAAATTGGTTCTAGAATTGGAAATGTTAAAGTTAGAGAACACATGTTACAACAGGATTGGAAGTGCATATCTCAACTCCATTGTTACTAACTAGATGAGTGTAGTCATGTTTCTTAGTCTCTCTAGCCTCAACTTGCTCATCTATAAAATGGAGCTAAGAAGAATTTAGTGAAATAAAGTACCAAGCTCATAATAAGCACTGAACGAATAATAGCTGTTAGTAAGTGGTAGTGATCAATGGGAAAATAGTGTAAGTAAACACAGTGTTTGGTGGTAGCTGATTTCCATTTGCCCAACCTCTTGCCTTCTCTCCCAACCTGGAGACCCTTAAGTAGCATACTCATATGCTCTGTTTCTTTGTTCCTGATTCTAAGGAAACACATTACTTGCCCCCAAAGAGCCTGAGGGCTATGGATGTCCAGCACAGCCCTACATCAGGACTCTGCTGGAAAGGGGGAGGAGGGTAGAGGGTCAAGCTGGGCTCTCACAAGCCAGTCTCCGACCCCTGGGAGGGAGGTGGGAAGTCAGCTATGGAAGCCGGTGCTGACAAAATGTGGGCACATTCCCCTCTGTCTTCAGGATGCTCACATATCTAACCTTAAAGTATAAAATGGCAAAATATTGAATTTTAGACTGACAAGGGGCAGTAGGGAGAGAAGCAGAAGGTCCTAGGTACCTAAGAAAGGAAAGAGATGAGTCTGGAGTGAAAGCAACTTCAGTTATGACTAGTTAGGATAGTGTTATCGCCAAATTGTAAGCCATTTCTCTCCTTGACTTATGTTCGTTTTTGCACTTTTTCAACATTCATTTCTCAATATGGGGAGACTTTGAAGTCTCATTTCTACCTCTTATTAGCTTTGCAAGCAGTTTCTTCATCTGAGAAATGTAGGTAATAGTTAAATGCACAAAGGCAGTGGGTAACTTGGATGAGAAAATGTATGTGATAAGCCTGGCACATAATAGGGACTCAGTTAAGGTAAATTGCTTGCACTTTCTTTCCCAAAGCACTCAGACGGACAGATGTCCATGCTTCCTTAAAGTGGTGGGGCACAGGCTTTCTTTAAGTTTCCTGAACAGGGACCATCATCACATACATTGCCTTTAGAATGGTAAGTGGAGAAGGGTGGGATGACGTAGTGTCGAAGGAGAAAAGGTGGATGGCAGCTTAACAAACTTGAGTGACTTTTTCAACACTTTCTCTTGACTAGTTGCACCATTCCCCATCACTTCTCACCAAGCCTTGTTTTTTTGCTGAGACATAGGCTGGTTCCGGTGAACTCCTCCCGTCCAGGTTCCACCCTAGGGTGAGTGCAGCGATCAGTGATGGAAGAGCCTAAAAGCATCGACCACTTCATCAGCACCAGGAGGGTGCATGCATCCTGCGTGAAACAGGCCTATAGTGGAATAGATGCAGCTCTGCTGTCCTCCTCCTTGGTGTGCCTGTGCACGCCAGTGCACGCCAGTATTCGTTCAGGTTTCTGTCTTGGCCTTCCAAGCTGATTTTGCTCTAGAACACAGTCTCCATGCTCATCTTTTTTTTTTTTTTTTTTTTTTATCCTCACCCGAGGACATTTTTCCATTTTTTACTCAGATAGAGCGGGAAGGAGAGAGAGGAAGAGAGAGAAACATCGATGTGAAAGGGACACATCGAGTGGCCGCCACCCACACAACCCAACCAGGGCCGGGGACAAACTGCAGCCAAGGTATATGCCCTTAGCAG